ATCATCCCATATTTCTTTCGAAGTTTCAGCGAACCGCACGCTGCTGCGGATCTCTTTGTCCATCGCTGTTTTGAGCCAGCCTTTGACCATCGCATCATTGCGCTTCCAGGCAACAGCAGCAGCACCGGCCATGGGTTGCTGAATCGAACCAGTAACAAAACCATACTTATCTTTAGCTAGCAGAGCGTCTTTCATATCCAGAATCCACTCGCCATAGTTGGAGGCCGTGAGGACGTCACCAACGAGCATATGTCCGGGGCTATCGGACTGATGAAGAGTATAGACGGACGGCAGGCCTTGAACTGCACCACCGTCGCTGCTGACAGATGAAGGGGAGGTGGAATGATCATCACCGCCACTCATGATGACTGGGTAACAACGACTGAATCGTTACCGCTCTGATACCATGAGAAAAGTAAATATTGCGGAAACGAAAGAGACGAGCTTTTAACGTGGTTCGGTCTCGCAGTGTACGAGACCTACGTCCACAAAGAATATGATAGACTTTTATTCCTCGGTTACTCGGCTGAACAGCCGGTTACAATAGTATATATACCCTATGCAACAATCGACTAGGGTTGAGCTACTACTCCTACACGCATACGTAGTATCACACGTGAACGGAGTGGATCTACAGCAAACATGGGCTGCTGTAGGTATCTTCGGGTTGGGCTGCCTCTCGTCAGCATTGTCTCGGCCCAATACAGGAGGTTATTTGAGAGCAACCACGCAGTTCCCAGCTGTTGGCAAAGCTACTAAGAGAGGAGATTAGACTCTTTTCCTGTAGCAACTCAGAATTCCAAATCCAAGTCAAGGAAAATGGCCTTTAAAAAAATTGCCCCAAAAATTGCGAAAATGCTATCCGCAAATAAATTCGCCCAAATCGGTGCTCAATCAGCGGCGGATCCGGGGGGCTGCCCCCAGGCCGCAGCCCAGCCATCCTCTAAATCAAAACTATTATAACACTTGTAAATTTTTTATTTTCGGTATTCGTTTAAGTATTCGTCGACTTATGGCCCAACACACTCTGCCTCTTTTCAAAATGTGGCTCAGTGCTCTACCCAATCCTCGATCCGCCGTTGTGCTTAATGGACTAAATCATCGGTGGAGAATAAGATCAATAGACTTCATTATCGGTGGAGAATAGCCTCGATATGAATCCGTGATCTGTAGCCTTTAAAATCGAAAGAAAATGACATTTCGGGGAAAATGCCGGAAATCTGTGATGGTATCCCCTTTGAGTCTGCCAAAAATGCACCCAGAAGAAATCCGTCAAAACTGGTGCTTAATGGACTTAACCATCGTTGAAGAATAACCTCAGGCCGAAACCATGATCTGTAGCCTTCAAAATTCTAGGAAAATGGCATTTCGAAAAAAATCACCCTAAAAATTACAAAAATGCCATCCTAAAATGAATGTGCCCAAATCGGTGCTTAATGGACTTAATCATCGGTGGAGAATAGGATCAATATAATTCATTATCGGTGGAGAATAGCCTCGGGCTGAATCCGTGATCTGTAGCCTTAAAAAATGAAAGAAAATGTCATTTCGGGAAAATCACCTACAATGTGTGATGTTAACCTTTGGAGTATGCAAAAAATGGACTAGGAAGAAATCCGCCTAAACCGATGCTTATTAGACTTAATCACCGTTGAAGAATAGCCTCAGGGCGAATCCATGATCTATAGCCATCAAAATCAAAGAAAAATGGCCTTTTTAAAAATCGTCCAAAAAATATGAAAATGTTATCCAAAAACAAATTCGCCCAAATCGGTACTTAATGGACTTAATCATCGGCGGAGAATAGGATTAATAGACTTCATTATAGGTGGAGAATAACCTTGGGATGAATCCGTGATCTGTAGCCTTCAAAATTGAAAGAAAATGACATTTCGAGAAAATTGCCCGAAATCTGAGATGTTTCCTCTTTGGAGTCTGCCAAAAATGGTGCGGGAAGAAATCCACCCAAATTGGTGTTTAATAGACTTAATCATCGTTGAAGGATAGTCTCAGGCCTAATCTATGATATGTAGCTTCAAAATCAAAGAAAAATGGACTTTCGAATAAATTGCCAAAAAATTATGAAAATGTCATCTGAAAACAAATAACCCAAATCGATGCTTAATGAACTTAATCATCGATGGAGAATAGGATCAATAGACTTCATTGTCGGTGGAGAATAGCCTCGGGCTTAATCCATGATTTGTAGCCTTCAAAATCGAAAAAATATGACATTTCATGAAAATCGCCGAAATCTGTGATGGTACCATTTGGAGTCTACCTAAAATGGATCAGAAAGAAATCTGCCCAAATTGATACTTAATGGACTTAATTATCGTTAAAAAATAGCCTCAGGTCGAATATGTGATCTGTAGCATTCAAAATCCAAGTAAAATGGTCTTTCAAAAAAAATTGCCCAAAAATGGACTAGGAAGAAATCCACCCTAATCAGTGCTTAATGGACTTAATAATTGTTGAAGAGTAGCCTCAAGTCAAATCTGTGATATGTAGCCTTCAAAATCAAAGGAAAATTGCCCAAAAAATTATGAAAATGTAATTCAAAAATCAAAGATTCGTTGGTGTTTAATAGACTTAATCATCGTTGAAGAATAGTCTCAGGCCTAATCTATGATATGTAGCTTCAAAATCAAAGAAAAATGGACTTTCGAATAAATTGCCAAAAAATTACGAAAATGTCATCTGAAAACAAATAACCCAAATCGATGCTTAATGAACTTAATCATCGATGGAGAATAGGATCAATAGACTTCATTGTCGGTGGAGAATAGCCTCGGGCTTAATCCATGATTTGTAGCCTTCAAAATCGAAAAAATATGACATTTCGTGAAAATCGCCAAAATCTGTGATGGTACCATTTGGAGTCTACCTAAAATGGATCAAAAAGAAATCTGCCCAAATTGATACTTAATGGACTTAATTATCGTTAAAAAATAGCCTCAGGTCGAATATGTGATCTGTAGCATTCAAAATCCAAGTAAAATGGTCTTTCAAAAAAAATTGCTCAAAAATGGACTAGGAAGAAATCCACCCTAATCAGTGCTTAATGGACTTAATAATTGTTGAAGAGTAGCCTCAGGTCAAATCTGTGATATGTAGCCTTCAAAATCAAAGGAAAATTGCCCAAAAAATTATGAAAATGTAATTCAAAAATGAATTTGCCCAAATTAGTGCTTAATGGACTTAATCATCGTTGGAGAATAGGATCAATAGACTTTCATTATCGATGGAGAATAGCCTCGGCTGAATCCGTGATATGTAACCTTCAAAATAAAATAAAAATGGCATTTCGGGAAAATAGCCCGAAATCTATGATTGATAGCTTTCAAAGTCAGTGAATAATAGCATTCAAAATAATCGTTCCAAATCGATTATGGATAGCCTTCAAAATTAGTAGATAAACATTCATAAGAATCAGCAAAAATCTATGATGGTTAGCCTTCAAAACCGGTGAAAATAACATTCTAAAAAATCGGCCAAAATTTGTGATGGATAGTCTTCAAAATCGGCGAAAATAGATTAAAAGGATTCAAGCAAAATTTATGATGTACAACCTTAAAAATTGGTGAATAATAGCATTCAAAAGAATCGGCAAAAAATTGTGATGGATAACCTTCAAAACAGGTGAAAAACATCGTTCCAAAAAATTGACCAAAATCTGTGATGGATGGCATTCAAAATTGATGAAAAATAACATGCAAAAGAATCAGCAAAAATATGTGATGGATAGTCTTCAAAATCGGTGAAAAATAACAATTTCAAAAATAGGCCAAAATCTATGATGGTAGCTTTCAAAATTTGTGAAAAAGAGCATTTAAAATAATCGGCCAAAATCTCTTGTGGATAGCATTGAAAATCATTGAATATTCGCTTTATAAAGAATTGAATTTTTTTTTTTTGTGATGGATAGCCTTCCAAATTGGTGAACAATAGCATTCAAAAGAATCGTCCAAAATCTGTGATGGATATCCCTTCAAAACGGGTGAAAATAACATTCCCGAAAATCGGCCAAAATATGTGATGGATATGCTTCAAAATCGGTGAATAATAACATTGAAAAGAATTGGTCAAAATCTGTGATGGATAGCTTTCAAAATCCGTGATGGATAGCCTTCTAAATTCGTGAAAATTTTCATTCAACGGAATCACCCAAAATTTGTAATGGACAACTTTCAAATCAGCGAATAATAACATTCAAAGGAATCGATAAAAATCTGTGATGGATAGCCTTCAAATTCGATGAAAAATAGCATTTCCAAAAATTGGTCAAAATCTGTGATGGATAGCACCTTTAAAACCAGTGAATAATGACATTCAAAAAAATCGGCCAAAATCGGTTATGAATAACCTTCAAAATCATTGAATGACAGCATTCAAAAGAATCAGCGAAAATCAGTGATGGATAGCCTTCAAAACAGGTGAAGAATATCATTCCCAAAAATGGCCAAAATCTGTGATGGATAGCCTTCAAAAATCGTCCAAAAAATTTCCTGACAGGATATTGTCCGCTTTGGATTTAGACTATAACAGATTTTGCCTTGGGGTGTATATCACTGTGACTTCTCATAAAGTCTCTCATTATTGTAATGCTCCACGGTGAGTACGTTTAACTTTGAGAGTTCTTACAAAAACTCATCCACTTCACCCCAGATTACACATTGTCAGTTACTATTTTTCACTTATAAACCATGGATCTCTCCCATATTTTGTCGAGATGAGATTCGCCTCTTCAATATTATTAAAAATGATTTTTTTTTAATTAATTAAACCACACATGTTACATGTGCTCCCGGAGCACCTAAGAAATTTCTCATTATTAAGTTTGTTTTGTTTCAGTGTTTGAATATTTTTAACTGTGGTAGTTTCCCTTTCTTGACTTCCCCACCTTTACTAATTAAAGAGGGAATGAACACCGAAGCATATAAGAAGAAAACAAGTCTAAGCACAGAACGCCAGCTCATTAATAAAAGAATTAAGAAAAAAGACAGCACGCCAATTAATACAAAACAAAACGACTAATCAATTCAGGAAAAGGGGCAAAACGGGAAACTGGAACTGTTTCGAGAGTCAGTTCCATCGACAGCATAAATTGGAGACGGCGGAGAGGCAGCAGCAGCAGACAGAGCATTTCATCCTCCGTTTTTTCCTTCCCCTTCCCCGCCGGCGTGATCGAATTCCCTTTCCTTTTCCTTATCCAACAAATGGATCCCCGCCGCCGATCCACCAAAAAGCCACCGGTCCAGTCCCTCCACCACCACCACCACCACCACGAAGAAGAAGACAGCCGCCGCCGGGCCTCCGACGCCCTCCCGCTCCCGCTCTACCTCACCAACGCCATCTTCTTCACCCTCTTCTTCTCCGTCGTCCACTTCCTCCTCACCCGGTGGCGGGAGAAGATCCGCACCTCCACCCCGCTCCACGTCCTCACCTTCTCCGAGATCCTCGCCGTCCTCGCCTTCCTCGCCTCCTTCGTCTACCTCCTCGGCTTCTTCGGCATCGAGTACGTCCAGTCCTTCCTCCTCCGTCCCTCCGACGACGAAGACGACGTCGACGGCAGATTCGCCGCCTGCCCCCAATCCCTAGACCTAGCCGCCGCTCCTCCACCATCCATGGAATTACAATTACTCCCGCAGGACGACGAGGAGGTCGTCCAATCCGTCGTCTCCGGCGCCCTACCTTCCTACTCCCTCGAATCCAAATTGGGGGATTGCAAGCGCGCCGCCTCGATCCGCCGCGAGTCCCTCCAGAGGATCACCGGCCGTTCCCTCTCCGGACTCCCTCTCGAAGGATTCGATTACGATTCAATTCTAGGTCAGTGCTGCGAGATGCCCGTGGGATACGTCCAGATCCCCGTCGGAATCGCCGGCCCCTTGTTGCTCGACGGCGGGGAGTACTCCGTCCCCATGGCCACCACCGAGGGCTGCTTGGTCGCCAGCACGAACCGCGGCTGCAAGGCGATTCACTTGTCCGGCGGTGCCACCAGCGTGCTTCTCAAGGACGGGATGACCAGGGCTCCGGTGGTTCGATTGCCCAACATCGCGAGGGCAGCCCAGCTGAAATTCTACCTGGAGGATCCCAGCAATTTCGACACGGTTTCCATGGTTTTCAACAGATCCAGCAGGTTCGCCAGGCTGCAGAGCGCGAGGTGTACAATGTCGGGGAGGAGCGTGTACATCAGGTTCTGCTGCAGCACTGGGGACGCCATGGGGATGAACATGGTCTCCAAAGGTGTTCAGAATGTGCTGGATTTCCTGCAGGCCGATTTCCCTGACATGGATGTCGTCGCCATTTCCGGTAAACTGAAAGCCACCTTCTTTCTCTTTATCTCTTAGTTTTGTGTTGTGTTATGAGTGAAAGGATCAGAGGATGTTGGTTGGTCTTCATTATTCTAGTTTAGGATGATCGATCTCGAAACTGACCCCGCGCGGTTTTCGATGAAATTAGGCAACTTGTGCTCGGACAAGAAGCCTGCAGCAGTGAACTGGATACAAGGGAGAGGGAAGTCAGTGGTGTGCGAGGCTGTGATCAAAGGAGACGTGGTGAGGAAGGTACTGAAGACCAGCGTGAAGTCACTGGTTGAGCTTAACAAAGACAAGAACCTCGTTGGTTCGGCCATGGCAGGGGCTCTAGGTGGGTTCAATGCGCATGCTAGCAACATCGTGAGTGCTGTGTACCTTGCCACGGGCCAGGATCCAGCTCAGAACGTCGAGAGCTCCCACTGCATCACTCTGATGGAGAGTACGAACGACGGGCAGGATCTCCATGTCTCCGTCACCATGCCTTGCATCGAGGTAATTAAACAAAGACGCTTCCTTTGGATTTTTTTCAGATTGCCAATGCAATGTCTTGTATCCATGTCGATGAATAGCAGTTCGAAAGTTGTGAAGAAAATCCTCCTGAATCGACCTTGTGGTGCATTGGTGCAGGTTGGAACGGTGGGAGGTGGGACGCAGCTTGCATCGCAATCGGCGTGCTTGAACCTGCTCGGGGTGAAGGGTGCAAACAAGGAGACACCTGGGGCGAACGCGAGGCGACTGGCGACCATAGTTGCAGGCTCTGTTCTCGCCGGCGAGCTCTCCCTTATGTCTGCGCTCGCCGCAGGGCAGCTGGTGAAGAGCCACATGAAGTACAACCGATCCAGCAAGGATGTCACCACCCACGCTGCTGCTGCTGCTTCCTCTTAATTTTATTTTCTTAGAGGAGAGGATGGGAGATAGCTTTTTAACATGTCGATGTGTGTCATTGTTGGAGACTTCGCAAGAACATATGGATGGAAAGCCAATTGGTTTGGAGGAAGGAATTTGATTGGAAATAGATGAAGTTTGGAACCGAACTTTGAAGAACAAAGATTCAATTGAGAATTAGTTGAAGAAAGGAACTTGAAGTTGGAAATATGTATTGATAAACCAAGGTTTCTTACAGAAATCACTGGATGGAGGTACGAGATCTTGATTTTGTTCGACAAAGTGGAGAATGAAAGAATTTGCTTGAGGAATAAGGAAATGACATAGGAAGATTGTTGATAGACGAGTTCAGGGAAAGTAAAACAATGCACAAGGAGTTCAAAGAGTGCCTGATAGTCGATTTATCGCTCTTCTTGACATCTTCCTCTCTTCTTCTCGGCAATCTCTGTGTTTTCTTCCTTAACACATATCCCTTGTACTCAAGCTCTACTCCAAGAAAGTATTTAGGCTCATCGATGATCGAACCGTATTTAGGCTCATCGAACCAATCAAAGTTAGAACGAAGTATGCACGATCTACTAAAATTTAACTGCATGGTGCATACTTGTTAGATCATGCACAGGAAGACAGTCACGATCACTGCCAATACTCAACTCATTTGAATGACAAGCTTGAAGTTATAACTAGAACACAATAGTGGAGAGATTGATCATAATATTCACAGTTCATGGGGGGTTTTTGTACATAAAGGGCTCGTCTTTAGAAGGTCGACATTATAATTTATATACAAAAGAACAGAACCAAACATCATAATAAATGAACCTTATAATAGGATCAGTCAGCTGTACAAAGAACAAGGTCATAAACCCTAGTCCATTTTCTTCCTTTTTCCTTTTTTTGGGGTATTTTTTTTCTCATTACTTTTCCTTATTTACACTTTTTCTTCCATCATGTCATGTCTGCCTGAAGAGTAAACTCCGGGTGGATCGATCATGGAGAATGAATGGTGGTATCAGGTAACATAGCTATCGTCACTACGAAGTATTCACAGCCAATCGGGAGGTTATAAGGGTTCTTTGTCGATCCCAAGTTGTTCACAGTCAATCTCCGGTCAGGAGCAGCCTCTAAGACGTCGGAGGTGCTTCCCTGATCTGCTGCTGCTGCTGCGCCAGGCAGTTGCTTCACGGTCTGACACTCGATATGCACAATCTTCCCAACTATAAAGCTCGGCAGGGTGGGAAGATGGTCCGTGAAGAGGGCCACCGATTCTGCAGATAAATAGTAGTTAGAGCAGCTGCGGCTGATCGCGACGTAGTGGAGATCAGCATTGAGCACGAATGCAGCAATCTCATGGACTTCCAATCGGGAGAATGAGATCCTCTCTTTGTTCGCCTGTAAATTGAAGGGCAAGCAATTGACAGGTCACCACAAGGTGTACAGCTAAGCAGGAGAATTAGAAGGATGATTGATTGAAGATTTACCTGCTTCTCGAGTTGATGCTTTTTGTATAGAGTGGTGCAGAGCTCTTTCTTCTCCTCCAGGTCCTTCAACAGCTTTTCGTTGGCAGCTTCTATCTTAGGGTACTTGTCAAGCAGCTCATCTCGATGTCTTGACAAGAAAGTAACTTTCTCCGCAAGAACCCTAATGCACTTCCTGAATTCTCCAGTTCCATCGTCTTCATTCTCATTAATCGAACTGACAGAAGGAAGAAAACCACAAAGCTGTAAGTGACCAATATCAATATGGATAGAAGCTAACAAATTAAAAAGCTTCAGTGAGATTAATCTTACTTGGCCAAAGATTGAGCTAAAGAACGCAAGGAGTCCGCGAAAGTAGTAACTCCACCAGGAGCGTAAACGCAGCTCCTCAGCCTTTCGAAGAGACCGCGCATTTTCACAGCAGATGCACGTAGAGCACTATATTCTGAAGCTCTTCTATCCGCTGCGCAGAGATGAGTTTGGGCCTCTTCTCTGGCGTCGTGCAGACAATTCTCCAGATGCGCACAATTCATCTATCAATATGCCACAAAGAACAGAAATTTTAAGAGACAACCCACTTACCAATGATCATAAAGTAGACCAACATCAAGTAGCTGGAAAGAGTGGAAGTACTAGAGCCTAGTAATAGCAGAGTTCATCATTTATGCACAGCAACAGGGAACAAGAGACGTAGTTTCATTACTAAGCACCTGAGATTCATTCAGAAGCTTTCGACTTGTTTCCAACTCCTTGGTAAGAATGGCAACCTCGTCCAGTACAGCTCTGAGTTTAGCCTCGGTTTCACTCAACTTGTTTGATTTCTCTGCAAGTTCACTCTGCAATTCCAGGAGATCTCCCCCAGTGATCTTAGGCTCAATGGCTGCATCAGAAGGCAGATCAGTTGAAGGCTCGGGCATGCTCTCAGCCGTGCAACTATTTGTTATCGACATCCCTAGTTGCCCCGCCACCATCTTGTCTTTCCCATCTCTGTCGCTAGCCTGCAGCTCTTCTCTATGTGGTTCTGGCATTGAAGAGTCTAACTGGGTGTTCAGGATTCCCGAGGAGTCCATCATATGTTCATCATCAACCAACCCTTCCCTACCTTTCCTACTATGCTGCCTAGTGAAACGCCCCAACTTTGTATCCAGAGAGTTAGAGATACAAGAGACCTCGTCCATGGGTTCTGAAGTAGACAATGAGTAAGGCAAATGGGTTTCTCCATGGATTGAGATCTCAGGTTTCCTGTCATGGCCAGTAGTCGCAGCTGAAAGTGCAGAATCAGATGACACATCTTTATCATTGACCAGTTTCTGCTCCTGCATGTATTGATCAGACAATCTCTGCTCAAGTTCCTGAATGCGCTTCTCATATGATAAGCACTGCAATTGCTTCTCCTTGAGCATAGACTGGAGATGCTTTCCGTACTCATCTTTCAGCTGCAAAGCCTCGGTTGTCTTCTCTGCTGCATTTTTCAATAGACTTTCCATTTTGCTATCATCAAGACACTCGAGTTCCACTTCTGGCATGAGAGAACAGATGAGGGCTATCTTAGACGCAAGTTCAGCTCTCAACTTTGCATTTTCGACTTCCACTTTGCTTGTCCCTGCAATCTCCACCAAATCACAACCCTCAAGCAGCTCCTCAGAATCAGCTTTCTCGACATTATCCACATAAATATCCTCCGTCTCAGCTGAATGAGAGCTGTCATTTGAAGTGGAAAACGAGCTTCTCAGACTTCCCTGCTTCTCAACCTTAAAAGGTATCCCAGCCAAATATTCAGGGGCATAGCGGTCCAGGTCAGGGAAATCAACATCGAGCAAATTAGTGTCAAAAGGAGCAACATTGACATCACACTGACTAGGAGTATCGTACAACCCCATGGATGCTAAGACATCCCTCGGTATGTACACACCATGCAATTTCAAAAATTCCTCCCGCCTCCTGACCTCAGCTTCCCTCTTAGTTGCGAGCCTCTCCGCCAGCTGTCCCGCCATGCCCATGTAGAGCTTCATCGAGGCCTTTCTTCTTACTATCTCAGCAAAGCATGCTCGGTAAGCCGGGCCAATGCCTCGAACGAGCTTCAGGTCGGTGAAGAGATCGTCCTGGCGTACCATTGCCTCTCTGAATACAGGAAATTGTAGCTTTGCATCTTTGATTATGTAGGAGACATAAGTTATCTTCTGCATGTATTCATGGACGAAAATGTTCATCTCATTCTTCTTCTCCATGCAGAAGTCTAGGAGTTTGCAGATAGAACGGCCGCATGTCTCCATCCTGGGAAGGTGATTCTTGTCGTGCACATCATACATGCGGCCCAAGGCAGAGACTGCATCGTGAGGACGGATGGAGGAAGATAATTGGCTGGATAAACAGTCGTCAACAAGTTTTTTTACCGTGTTTACATCTTTGCTGCATTAAGAACAGATCCAATCATCCATACCAGAAACTAACAAGTCACACCAAAACTCTCCTAATTGGTACCATATGTTTGAGAATTCATAATCAAGACAGTCAACCACAATCCATACAAGAAATGGTCAATTCTATACTAGAAGCTAGCAAGACCACATGGATGACAAATTCATACTAGGTATCATATACTCAATTCGGAACTTAGACTAATTATTGCCAATTGCTAAGGAAAGGAAGATTCGAAATTACTGCTGCAATGACTTTGAACATACTATTAGTAAATTGCATGTTCCAACTAGTCCGAAACAAAAGTCCTTGGCAGCAATCCAATTTAAAAGAAAAAATTAGAACTAGCATGTCATAAAATCATAACATATGGTTAAACTGAAGCAGACTTGAGGAAATTGTGGCACATTCTGCATTGTGATTGGAAAAGAAAAAGAACTAGCAATTCACCAACTTCACAATCTTGCCACAAAATATAAAAAATGAAATGTTAAGTTGATGAACTAATGATCATCTCAGCTCCTAACAAGTATAAGTTGAAGGCCATAAATGGTTAAATAATTGATTCATAGAAGCAGTAAGAGAGAACCGAGAGAATCCTAGCTTAATTATAAACAGCAAGCTGCATATTACAGAGAAGAAGGTCTACCAGCGGAGATACTTGAGAAGTTTTTGTGACCCGATGGAGCATACCCCTATAAATATCAGGAGAATATAGTACAAAGATTAAAGCGATCAGGACAGAATGCAACCAACCTCAAGGACTGCATTATACTCTTCTGTTCACTGATGAATCGCTGATGCTCTTTGATCGTTAGCTCCAAGTTCTTAATTGGTACAGAAGCCCGCCAAGAAAACAATTCCTCCACCTTGCGCTTCACTTCACCAAACATCTGCTTAAACTCCAAAACCTTCTTTTCAAACTGCTTATGAGAGTTGCTGCAGTTCTCCACAGCCTTTCTCAAGTTCTCTTCCTTAACAAAATCCATCAAGCACTTCCTACCAGCCCCCTGCAAAGCCGGATGAAGCCTGATAGATCTCAGCTTCTCCAAATCCCTACTGAAATTCACTAGGAGCTCCGAATGAATCCGGTGCTGCTGATTATACCGCTTCATGAACTCAGTATAATTCTGATTGATCACCTTATAGTACTGATCCAAATTACCCCTCCCAACCTCCACCGCCCTCTCCTGCACCTTCTGCTCCCTCAATAACCTCTCACAAGTTTCAAACCTCACCTGAGTTCTACTGTAGATCGCATGACCCCTATGGAAATGATACCGAAACTGCCTCTCGTACGAAGGCATAGCCTTCAACGCAGGGTCCGTGGCATCATCCAAAGGATGAGGCTCGTGGCTTGAAGCTGGCAATGGAGGATCAGCTACTTCGACTACATTCAATTCCTCTGGAGATGGTGGTGGGGAATTGTTCTGAAGCCTAGCTTTGTTGAATATAAACACTTCTCGATCTATTGCCGGAAGCTTGTAACTAGAGAGCGGCCGTTGGGGTTCTAATTTCATATCCAAACACAGAACAAGCTGATCATTCAAGTTGATCCCAGAATAAGATTCAACATACCGCATAACTGCTTCAACTGGGGTGGTTTCATCGCAATCGAGCTCTAATGAATGACCGTTCTCTGCTACGTGGACTAGCAGCTTCCCCTGCTGGATCAAAGCTTCTGTGATGCTTGAGCTCATCTTCTTCGCCCGACTCTCTCTCTACCCAAATCAAGCTTTCAATCCTCTGAAATCAACCGAATAGAGCAGAAACCCAGCTGCGCTCGAATCGATAGAAGCACAAATGTCATCAACCGCCAATGAGATTCAGCAAGACTTTAAGCTCGATTCGAAGCCCAACCGTCCACCAGAGAATTTGCCCGGAAAAGAAAAATGTCGACTTTACACAGAACCAGCGGCGAAGCCACCTGGAAAAGCAAAGGTCGAAGGAGAGGCAACCGAATCCAACCACCAGAGCCGAAAACAAACAAAATCCACCTCTAGAAGGAAAACCCTAATCGTCCGCCCCCACCCAAAACCCGCCGAATTTGACCAAATCCCAACTGACCCACTTCAAATGAGCTTATCAGAAGAATATCCCAGTTCAGGCTCCGACCCAATATCGAAATCAAACTCCGGAACGTTAACAGTTGGACCAAAAAAATAGTTAAAATTAGGGGAAAGAAAAGGAAAGAAGAAAGATGGAAGGGAGGTCGTTAGTTTTGATTGAGCAGGAAGCTTGCAGAGTAATAATTAACAACGAAAAGGGATTACGTGAAGATAGACCGATGGGGAATTTAGGACTCTTCTCTATAAAGGGTTCTCTCCACGGAACCTCATTGATTGAGAAATCCTCCTCCTCTTGGGGGAAAAAACGAAACTTTCAAATTTTTATTTTTTTAGTTATAGAGACGAATGCTGTAATCGAAATCTCTGAAGCTTCCGGCAGCTGATCTAAAAGAAAAGGAATCCTTCTTCCCCAGTAAAGAAAAAGAAAAAAATATATTCACAGAGAACCTTCCGCCATAAGCAACCACCAGCGGGCTAGCAAGATGCCAAGAACACAACCAGAGCTTTCTCTTTCCTTCCTCTCTCTCTCTCTCTCGAGTTTGGGGAAGAACTGAGAAAAGCTGACAGATTTTATAGTGGGCGAGATAATATATTTGTTATTTTTCTTTTCACTGTGATGGAACTTGGTTTTGATCTGATCAAATTATCCGTTAGCGTGCGATGATACTTGTCGTTTTGGACACCTCATGATCGGCAAATAACAGTTTGATCCTTGTAAGTTTTTTTCTTTCGGTATAGTAAAATCGTCAATTGTTTCACAATATTTTCTCTGAATTGAGATACAATTTTGGATTACAGTTCATTCAAAATCTGTTTCAACATAAAAATCTCGATAGATGGATAAAAAGTTCATTTTAAATGTTTGAGATGGCAATTTAACGCAAAGACTTTATGAGAGGTTGTAGCATATGATCGGTTAACTGTGTTGTTTGTCAGTAAATATGGAACATTCTAGTCTCGTTATCTATATAGCAAGGAGAGAAAAATTGTTAAACGATCTATGCAAGAAGGCGATGGAAAACGATGTGTTCTAAACTAACAATTATGAGTTCTGAGTTGGCATGCATATGATGATAGTGTGTCTATATATCATGTTATTATTACTGCTCAAAACTTATAAGTCCAATCTTGGTGAGGAACAAATCTTATGTGGCAATTACGTGTGAAACTACATGAACTTAGTGTTGGCAATGACACGGGATAAGGTGGGTATTTCAATATCGATATTCGTCTTAGACTAAATGTGGATCAAGTAAGATAATACAAGCACAAAATGAGGTGGGGCAAACCAAATCATTTTCACATGTTATTTTAAAAAATAAGCAAAAAATTAACTCGTATGCACGAAAGCAAAAGAAAAACACCTAATAAGTATTAAAAATGGTAAGAGATTGAATAACAAACTTAGCCTAATTAGTTAAAAGAGTCATTGGATAAAAAATGGTTTATGAAAAATTAAAATATGAGAAATACAAGTAGATATTTACACAAATCGAGATCAACCAAGTCAAGAACAAAGTGGGATATGACAAAAATATTTTTGGTGGATCGCATGTTACTATCAGTCGATAATATTCATCTCAAACAGACAGTCTACATCATATCGAGACACCTATGAAAAACTTTAAATTTTTTAGGAAATATTTTTGTTTAACAACTCTCGTATTATTCTAGAAGTTGTGAAAAATGATCTATATTTAAGTTAAGGATGGAGCTTCAAAGCATTTAAAACATTAGCCCCATTCATGTAAACTAATAGCGAGGAAGCAAAGTTGACGAAGGAAACTAATAAAAGCCCATTTGTGATAACACTTGGCATATTATTTCATTCCAAAAAGCAATAGCTTGTGTATCATGTGCCATAAACCAAGGAACACATTATTTTGTCTTTAACTAACATGTTCTTGTATACATTCCATTTATCAGTTGTGGTTTCTAGTCTACATAAAGTTTGGGTAAAATATATTATTTTTCCCCCTAGATATCTTAAAAGAGGAGACATGCATCATTTAAGTAGACGAAATCATAAACTCGAGATGAAAATAGGCATTGATTGATCAAAAACTAATTCAACGATAATATAACTTGGTTTGCCATGATATCACACCCTTATAATATCTACAAGGTGCGAGATTGAAAGAAGCACGTTGTAATGAAGAGCATATTATTGAGATTTTCAAGTTGATTATGCGTAAATGTGGTATTTGCATTGTGTGATTAGTAGATGCATTAAAATGGTAGATCTATTTCTCGCCTCGTAGGTATAACTCAATTGGATATTGTTCACTTGTTCTCACTTGAATTCTGTATGAAACTCCTTTAGCCTGTTTCATGTATGTCATTATCTGTATCTTGAAATGTAATGTCTCGTAGCCTATGAATTTAAGATAAATGGATATCTTTGACAAACTGGCCTTTATTTAGGACCGGTAAGTAATATATTGAAAGTATCATGAAAAAGAGTTAATTTTTGTGTTGATCGATTTAGAATCTTGATTACCCATTCAAAATAACAAGCCATTCACAACACGGTTATTTATTGTTTCTTCTTTATCATGACTCATGCCTCTCCAATAGCAAAACCCTACTTTGATATTAACTATCACCAAGACACAAATGCTAGGAGACCATATCAATGCATTGCCCTTCATCACACCACTATCCCCTTCAAACTTAACTAAGAAGACTTATTTCAACCGTGTCTTCACCCTGATCCTTTAGAGCTGCAAATGCTCGTTTCCCGATCACTAAATGGTCTGAACCTCGTAATTTAGAGAGTAACAAACTCATATTTAACCACGCTTTATGCAACAACGGAAATCAAAAGAAAGATATACAATCACACATTGATTCTCCGTCGGCCAAACGACAGAAGACATTCCATCAAATCTAAGCTCCCGAACAAAATGTCACTTGGATTTGAAGGAAGGAAACTCATTGGAATAGTAGATCACTTATAGGATCCATCCCACCACCAAAGATTTTGAAACACACATACAAGTATTGTAAAACTTCCAATGATCACAATTGTTAACAACAAGTTCCAGACCTTTTACATATTTGCCTCTACTTTCTTTGTCATCTCTTTTCCATTTTCCTAACAGTAACACCACCACCAACAACACTAAAAATAACAAAGGAAGGGTCACAAAATTGGAAGAAATTAGGGTTGGATTGGCCTCCAAGCTATAATACTCCAAAAAATGCCAACCCCAAAACCCAAACAAAACTGAGAACAAACAAAACACCTACATTGAACAATCAAAGGGTGGAATTCAACATAAATTGGATGGATCATGAAGGACAAAAAAAACTGCAAGTCTACAAAAAAAAGCACTAATTGGCTAAGGATACAATACTACTACTAATAATTAATAATTAAATTGGAGCCTTTGCGAAACTAACAAAGACAACCAATTAATATAATAATAATTAATTTCACTAAAAACATACACCATTAGTACTCCGACGACCCATCCCAATTAGCTCAATCAATCCGCCGGCTTCTTCATCGTCGATCACCATCTAATCTTCTTCTTCTTCCTCTTCTTCTTCATTGTGTTGTAATTAGTGCTTGATGATCCACCATAATCACATGATTATATGGGTAATGAAGAACTAGATCAGCAGCAAATGACTATGGTGGCTAATTGGGAGTAATAGGGGGGAGTAGTGGTATGTTCATAGCTGTAAATTGGAGTTTCTTGGGGAAAGGGAGCTCGCATTCATCGTCGGACCAGTCAGTACACCTAATCTCTTACATATTTTTAGCAAAAACTATAAGAGATATACTTCTAAATACTACATCTAACCACTAGAAAAAAAACTTCAAAAGTATATGGAAAAGGAAGAGAGAAAAAAACAGGTGAAGAATAACTAAACTTTCATTCTATCGGATATAAATTTGCTTATCGATGACAAAACTTGAAACTAAATATATAAAACAACAGCTCGCAATACGTAAGAATCCAAGAACCTTGTTTCTCATTTCTCTCCATCTTCAAAAGGCAAAACAATTGCCTCATGAAGATAGAAAGAAATGAGATTCGAAACTGATCCTTCCAATGAATGAGGAGAAGAAGAGAGAGCAAAAAGAAGAACAGAGAACATGGAAGGAAGAGAGAGAGAGAGAAAGGAGATGAATGTGAAGTGTAAACATGATGAAGAATCATATATATCTCCTTTGAAATAATCCAATTAACTTTTAAATTAATCTAATGGTTAAGGGAAAGATTAGGCCATTAATTATAAACAAATACATTTCCCCCATGAATAAAGCCATTAATTAGGTTAAGAGGTGCTTCAGCATTCAGCCGAATTTTAATCTATTACTGATTTATTTTATCGTAAACAAATTATTTATTTTTATATCAAAATTTATTTAAATTCTTTGTACATGAAAAGCATCGGGACTAACGGGGCGGGCTTAATCCAAGCCCATGTCTTGAAGCGCAGACAGCCCACACAGACAAAACACGGAAGTTTTTAATCAATCAATTAATTAATTAATTGTTTCTTTCCCCCCATCATATTCTCTTGGCAAAAACAGGACAAATTTTCTTGTAAATTGGGGACTAATTTTCATTAATAACGATGATTAATAATAATAATTATTGTTATGGGTTCCTATTATGATTTCAAAAGCAACAGAGGGTAACTGACAAAAACCGTCTGCCCCTCCTGTCTCTATACGTGTGTATATATATATATATAGCTACGGCCTACGGTTTTGTTTAGTTTAATAAAGAAAATTATAGGAATGGCTAGATATATAATGTTATTGACCGACGGTTCTGAATATGGTTGGTCTATGTGTGTCATTGATCGGTTAGTTCAAGGATTTGGATGATGTGTGTTGTGTTGGCATGTTGTCGTGATTCATTAGTGTTCATCAATGGTGTTATGAGTTTATTTTTTTGACAAGAGGACATTGCATTTCATTAGCTTTGAGAAGCAAATTGTTACAGCAGAGGGGAAACAACATCGAGAATCTGTACCCATTGTGAGGGTAGAGTTCTCTTAGCACAAGATCTAGCAACCATGGTAAAGGAAACCGTACCGGAAGTCATACCGGATCCGTCAGTGGTAGGGTATTTTGTGGTACGACCGTGATTCAACCGTTGTGTACCGGCAAAATACCGTTTTTGTAATTAAAAATTATTTTATTGTTAAAAAACCATACCGCCATATTAAGGATACCATTTCGGAGAATACCGGAATAAAACCGGAATATACCGGATAGCAAACCTAAATAAACTAAATAGGAATATACTAGATTTAGGATATGGTTTCATTCAAATGATTCCAATAAACCCCCAATTGTTGTCCCTAATTTTCCACTCTAACAAACTAGAAAAATAAGCAAGCGTTCCTTCTCTAAGTCTTCTTCTTTGACTAGCTTAGCAATGGAGCTTTCTTGATCCTTATCCCTTGTCTAACAGATAATTAATGAACTAATAATTTAATTTTCACTCATTTATTCTTTCTTTTTGAATTACTTTTTCTCATTATCTCTACACCTACTACCACATCCACATATCCTTGACTTTCTCTCTTCCCTTTCCGACTCTCTCTCATCCCCAACCCAGATCCAGAGCAAGATGAAGCTCTGTTTTGATTTCTTTTTTCTCTTC